TCTTCTGTAAAAAAAAAAAAAAAAAAAGAAAAGAAAAAAGAAAGAAATTATCAATTCCCAACTTGACTCTCACTGGGATTAAACATGACAATAGGTCTGATCTGATTTCATCATCATTTAAAAAATCAACTATTATTTTTCACTTTATGTTTCTGTGTGGGAGCAAACCGTTGAAATCTTTACTTAATGTATACTAAGCTGATCTTCTGTATATTAAGAGAATCGAAAATGAATCTTGATGTGAATGGAAGGGGAGAGGGAGTGGGAAAGGGGAGGGTTGTGGGTGGGAGGGACGGTATGGGGGGGAAGCCATTGTAATCCATAAGTCGTACTTTGGAAATTTACATTCATTAAATAAAAGTTAAAAAAACACTAACCAGGCTGCTCTCCCAAGTTTTCTTCCTCAATGTGACTGAAAAGTCCTTTGTTAAACTTACTTTGATCTGGAGTCTCCTCTACATCCAAATCAACAAAGAGGAACGCTCTTCCCAAACACTCAAAATCCAGCCTTCGTGTCTGCGAGTCCACTTTCCCTCCAAGTCAGGGGTCTAGTGCATTCTCTACAGAGTCTGGCTGCATGTTCCCAGTCCCCAGTGTTTCAGCTTCTTCTCCATGTGGTGATCTCTTGTTGGTCCCTGCGGAAGTCAAAGGCACTGAAGCCTACAGCAACCTGGAAACCACAGGTCACTTCTACCACTGCCACAACTCTGTTAAGGTAGGAAAGCACTGAAATGAACTCCTTCATCTCACTGAAGCCTCCAGCCAGGGGAGCTAGGCCCTCCTTGTGGCAACAAGAGGGGATTTTCAACTCTTTAGGGATCAGTCCTTATAGATTAGTGCACTCTTGGCTAGAAAGTAACTCTGTGCACCCCACTGAAGTTCCCTTTACTAACAAGCCAAACTTCTCTAATAATGTGTTCCCATTTAATGTCCCCACATCCCTCCCCCTTCAAGTTGGCCACAATCTTTACCACACCACCCAAAACTTGCAAGTTTTCAATGGCTTGCTAAATCTTAGGTGAACATTTTCAGCCTTAGCATTTAAAGCACACTTAATGGCATTTGACACTGCTGCAAACTGCTTCCTCCTCAAAGCCCTCTCTTCTCTTTGCTTCTGAATTTCTCCTCTCTCTCCTTCTCTGCCCCAGTCAGTCTCAGGAACCTTGGCTCACTCGTCTTCTTCAGTCCAGTCTTGGATTCTCTGAGAACTACAGCTAGTCCTTTTCCTCCCTTACTCTACAGACGTTCTCAAAACAGCATTGCCCCAACATGTGGCTTCACTTAGCACATATGAACAAGCCCCAAGTTTACACGAGCAGCTGAGACTTTTTGAGCTTTATATTTGTATATAAATAATAAGAATGACTAACATTTTGTGATACTCTAGGCCAGATACCAATCTAAGTTCTTTATGTATCCTATACTCATTCAGACCTCACAAGAACTTTATGGGGTAAGCACTATTGTCATCATTCCTATTTCACAGATGAAGGCACCAAGGGGCATGGAAAGGTTAAGTAATTTTCCCAAGGTCACACAGCTGCTAGTCACAGGCACTCCAGAGACCACCCTTAACCACTCTGCAATACTGTCTTTCAGTTTATTTGCTTACTAAAAATTACCATTTGAATGTCAAATAGGAAAACTAAATGCCTAGTATTTCTCCCCAACTTCGTCTTCCTCCATTATTTCTTAATTTGGAGACTGTCACCACCAACCCAATATGTGTTCTGCCACTCCTTTACCTACATGTCCAGACCACTGCCAAATCCTATCTAGTCCACCACCAGGAACTGTCTCAAATCCAGTTCCCCTACTCTGTGATGGAGGCCACTACTGACGGCAACCAGGCTTTTCAAGAGCTTCCAAGGTGGTCTTCTGTGTGCACCCCAGCCTGCTCCTGTGGGGAACAACTCGGACTAGACTGAGTAACTGGAATTAAGACTTATTCTATGCATCTGCTCTCCCACAATATGGCGCTGAGAAGGGAGAAGCAGCTTCTACACAGCTGCCTCCAGTTCAACCAATAAACAGCAGGACCTGCTCCTGATTGGAGGAGAGCAGTGTACTCGGCGTGTGGGTAGCAGAGTTGGGATTGGCGGAAGAGGACTATAAAGGAGGAGAGAGACAACATGCACCAGGAACATCTAGGGGGAACACCTGAGGAACATCTGAGCAGCCCCCAAGAGAGCCGGCCGGCGGTGTTCCGCTCCCCCGCGGAAGTGGGGAATGTGGCAGGGGGAACCGCCCTTCCATGGAGGTGGAAGGGACGGTAGCCAACCCGGGAAGAACCAGCAGCAAACCCGGGAAGGGCTGAGCAGACGAAAGAACAGCGCAGGGTCCTGTGTCGTTCCTCCACGAAGACAGGGAGCGACATAATGGTGCCGTGACTCGGATATGAAGCCTAGGCAGGGCTTGGTGTCGTTCCTCCATGAAGAGGGGGAGCGACATAATGGTGCCGTGACTCGGATAGGAAACCTAGGAGGGAAGAAACGGGAAGAAGCGGAAAATACCGGAGAGAGAGACTAGCAAAGAGCCTAGGGAAAAGCCGGACAGAAAAGGTGCCGGAAGAAGCTATCGAAAGCCTAGGCATAGACTCGGATACGGACTGTGGGAAAGAAGTTAGGATTTAAAGTGAAAGCAAGAAGAAACTTAGACTCAGATACGGACTGCAGGTTGAAAGTGAAAGTGAAACCTATAAGAAACTTAGACTTGGATACGGACTGTGGGGAGAGGCCAGGAGAAATGAGGGAGGAATATTGTTGGAAGAAAACTTAGGGAAACATACCGGGTAGAGAAAAATGTTAGGGAGGATGAAGCCGCGAGTGCAGGCCGAGGCGGAGACCTAAGCCATCTTGGAATTCTTCAAGTCAGCCCGGGAAGCAAAAGGCGAAAATCTGGAACCAGAGGCAGAGACGTGGGCCGCCAGGTTGGAATTCGCCAGGTTAGTCTGGGGAACTTGGACTGAATGCCGGTGGTGGCGGAAACGTGAGCTGGGGCTGTGTGACTCGCGGAAGCTGCCGCGTGCAGAGAGAGCACGGGGCGTGAATAGATAGGGAACGTGGGGCTAGTGCGAGGCCGTGGTGTGGGCGCGAAGGGGCGTGGAGACCGCGGAGTGCGCACGCGAAGCCGGGAAGCCGCGCAGATGAGAGAAGCGCGGGCTGAAGCGGCTCAGAGCCAGGAAGCCACCAAGAAGCAGCCTCGGGGCGGGTGCCGGGAAGCCGCGAAGATAAGAGAAACAGAAGTTTAGAAGTAAAATGAGAGAAATAAGAATGCTGGTAGATAGAAGTAAAATAGGAGAAATAGGAATGCCCAGAGATAGAGAAACAGAAAAATAAGGCCTCCCCACAAAATGGCAATGAGAGAGCTTGGATTCGGTCTGCCTGATTAGAGAGGTGGTGAGCACCTGCGGGTGGCTAGCAGCTTATGCACCGCAGGTCACCGAAGACAGGCACGAATTAACATCAATAAGTCTCCCCACAATACCGCAATGAGAAGGCTTGGATTCGGTCTGCCTGATTAGTAAGGCGGTAAGCACCAGCAGGCGGCTCGACCAGAGTATGAGCTGCAGGTCACCGAAGATAGGCACGAACCAACACTAATAAGTCTCCCCACAAGACGGCAATGAGAGGGCTTGGATTCCGTTTGCCTGGTTGGTAGGGCTTGTAAGCACCTGCAGGCAGTTCTGGCAGAGCATGCGCTGCAGGGCACTGAACACAGGCACGCATCAGCGCCTAAAAACCTCCTCACAACATGGCGAAGAGAGGACCCGGATTCGGTTTGCCTGATTGATAGGACTTGTAAGAGCCTGTGGCAACTCTAGCAAGTAGAGCAGAGTGTGTGCCGCGGGACACTGAAGACAGGCGCGTATCAACGCCAAAAAATAAAAAGAAAGGGGGATCTGTGGGGAGCAATCCGGACTGGACTGAGTTACTGGAATTAGGACTTATTCTATGCATCTGCTCTCCCACAATATGGCGCTGGGAGAGAAGTAAACAGCTTCCGCACAGCTGCCTCCAGTTCAACTAATAAACTGTAGGATTTGCTCCTGATTGGAGGGGAGCAGCGTACTCGGCGTGTGGGCAGCCGAGTTGGGATTGGCGGAGGAGGACTATAAAGGAGGAGAGAGACGGCATGCACCAGGAACATCTAAGGGGAACATCTACCTGAAGGAACACCTGTGCAGCCCCCGAGAGAGCCGGCCGGCAGTGTGCCGCTCCCCTGCGGAAGTGGGGAATGTGGCAGGGGGAACTGCCCTTCCACGGAGGTGGAAGGGATGGTAGCCAAACCGGGAAGGACCAGCAGCCAACCCGGGAAGGACCAGCAGCCAACCCGGGAAGAACCAGCTGCAAACCCGGGGAGGGCCGAGCAGACGAAAGAACAGTGCAGGGTCCTGTGTCGTTCCTCCACGAAGACGGGGAGCGACATAATGGTGCCGTGACTCGGATATGAAGCCTAGGCAGGGTTTAGTGTCGTTCCTCCATGAAGAGGGGGAGCGACATGCTCCCAGACTCACTCTCTCACTGCACACTCTATAAAACTCAGATTTGGTTAAGTCATATCCTACTCACAGTTTCCTGCTGCTCAAAAAGGATAGTACAACATGTTAGCCTGTCTGCAGAGCCCATCTTCCTCTCTATCCTCTGAGCTGCCCCCATCCTCCTTACTCTTCCTACCTGTGTGTCCCTTAGTCCTTCTTGCAGGCTGTTCCCTTGGCCTCCTCCCGAAATCCTCACTCAACCTCATTAACGTGCTCAGCTTTCAGACAACCTCGGGATCTCAGCTTGCCTCCCTCTTCATGTACTTGTAACACTCTTCCGAAGCACACATTGCTTCTCCTCTGCAGCTCTTCACACAATCAGTAATCAATCGTTGATGGCCTCATAAACTGTTCCATATCTGTCTCCCTCATTAGGACATAAGATCCATGATGGCAGAGGCACTGCCTGTCCTGTTGGTGGCCACCATGACCCCAGAACTTATCAGCATGCTCAGATGTTTTTCAATGATGATGGGTTAATTAATCAGAGTCACAGCGGGAGAAGCTGTAATGAAGCAAAAGAAGTTGGCACTTCCTCAGCAAGCAGTGAAGAATGTCAGCTATGGTTCAAGCAGGAAGCGGTGGAGGGGAATGGCCATGGTAGCAACATACATCTGATGGTGCTGTGGAGAATGGATTGCATGAGACAGATGAGCATTTAGTCCAGGCTTGCATGGGTCAGAGCATGGACTGGGTGGGTGCAAATGAATGAGGTGGCAGAATCAAGAGAGACCACAAAGTAAAAATCTGCAGGATGTGGCAATTGCAGTTGTCTACTATTTGCTAACTGCTCAGTTGGATTCTGCTACTTAGTAGAGGGTGGCTCTGCATTATCCACCTATGATTTAGTCACATGCATGTGAAAGCATGGAACGAAGACTGCCTAGGAGGGAAAGACTGTACAAAGGATGCTCAGATTTCTCCCTTCTACCCTGAGAAAAATGAAAATGAATTAAGATAATTACTTTTCCAGTAAGTAAATACAGCCTCTCTCAGGATTCATGGAGGATTGCTACCAGATATCAAAATTTGAGGATACTCAAGCCCTTTATATAAAACTATGTCGCATTGGCATACAACCTACCCACATCCCCCTGTATAATGGTAAGTCATCCTAGATTATTTACAATGCCTAATACAAAGTAAATGCTTTATAAATAATTGCTGTAGTGTGTTGTTTAGAGAATAAGAAAGTCTGTACATTTAGTAGAGGTGCCATTTGTTCTTCAACTATTTTTTAATCTAACTATAATCTAATATTTTTAATCTAACTAATGTAAATTTAAAATGATATCTCAAAAATTTAGAAAGGAAGGAAGGAAAAGAAAGAGTGGGGGAGGGAATATCACTATATTCTTTGAAATTTATCTAGGAATTACATTGAATCTGTTCTCTTCATATTAAATCACATTAGCATGAAAAGTAAAGGTATATGCATATATTCCATCCATGGTTGGATGAAATTATGGATGTGGAATCAATGGATATGGAGAGCCAACTGTATGCGGGTCAATGAAGATAAGGGGCAGATAAGTAAAACAATTACATTTCAACAGAGGACACTAACTCCTCCCCAACTACTATCAAAAATACTCATCTATTGCTCCTTAGGTCCCTCTAGATGGTAGTAAAAAATACTCTTTCAGCTTTGGACATGCTCTGTTCTCAACCAACCATTCTTTATATCTGAAACTGACGTTTATAACCTTGTTATTAAATTTTAAAACATCTACCTCCTCTCACAAAATAAAACTTCACAAAATAGGAGAAAAGCATCTGGAATGCTCTGTGATAATACACCAGCACAAGCAGTATCAAATAATCTGAACATGGTTACATATACACAATAGTATTTAAATTCACTAATATGAGTGCTATAGCTTGAAGGCCATTATTTATATTTAACATTAAACAACTTTCTGTGGTGCACACATAATAAAGAATCAGAAAGTCGGAATAGCTCCCACAAATGAGATGCCTCTGCACCTCCTAAGCATTGAGGATCTCTCCCCCTTGACATAGTCTTGGAAAATTTAAACTTTCAGTTTCAGGAGAGTTTCAGCCATAAGTGAGATGTATGTAAGTGTAGAAAATGTCAGACTGCATTTCTCAATCCTGGCCTTTTGTACTGAACTTCTAGTTCATGGGAATAAAATGGCACTCAACACCACACTCTGCAAAACTATTTTGGGTGCATGATATAATTTCTCAGCCAACAAAAGCTTGTCTGAATCAAAATGCATTGGAAATTTCTTAAAAATGTAACACTGTATGCAAATCTGCAAGTAAACTCTCAGTACCACCTCCCCCCATTTCCCAGAGAGCCTGCAAATGAATTGAAAAGAAAATCAGAACTATAGGCTAAAATGTGCCCCCATTAACGAATTGTAGAGCATTTATTTATACCAGCCTCCATGTGGTGACCAGCTTTCCATGTTTGTGTTAGTTTCCGTCTTATCGCACAGATCATGATTTATCTGAACCAACTTTAATAAGGTCAGTGGTTATATCAACAAAAGAATGGTATCTGGTCCTGCAATGAATGGGGAAAGCTCTAAGCAAAGTGCAATTAACGACAAAGCAATAATCCACTCAAATCAAGAGGAAATGGCTTGAATGAAAACAAATGACTTGAATTTTTAAAAAATAAACCACTCTTAAATTATACAAATGCAATTTCCAACTTTTGTTTACTTTGGTCATATTATTTTTCTATTTACATATATACCAACTGGGGTCTGAACGCTGATTTCATTGTAGGAAAGAGCAACAGGGGAGTGCCAACTTTCTCAGTACCTGTCATGACAGAAATTGTTCACGTTCATGCTCATTGGGTTCAACTTGTACAACTGTCAAAATGTCCTACATGATTTCTTTCCTTGATTCGCCATGAATCTCATCCTACAACAAGTCTGCAAAGTCACTATTACTGTACCCACTTTATAGACAAAGAAACTGAGACTTAGATTGGATAATCAGAAATATTAAGTCACCTGCAGAAGGGGCATGAAATGTCACACAAAGTCATGTCATTTGGCCCCATATCCATTAGATACACACATACCATATACACTGCTATGTCATCAGCACAAATCAAAATGTCTTTACACCCACCATGAATCTGACAGCCCCACCCATCTTCCAACCCAATGAGTAGAATCAATCCTGAAATAAACAACTGTACCTAATAAACTCTGAAGACTCAACATAAATAACTGTTTCCTTCTACCAATCATATTGCCACTAACCACATGAACTAAATATTTTAACACTTTAATGCAAAAAACGTTTCATTTCCCCACTTGGCTCACCTGTCATGAGTGATCCTCTCCACAACTAGCTGTGGTCAGAGGTAAGGCAAGATGTGAGAACAAAGTCAGACTGATACATCCGAACTACCTCACCTGCTGACCATTCCCAGCATTCTATGATTTGGCAGCACAAAATTGGGCCCATAAAAATCTTATATCCAGTCTTGTTCTGCCACAGTAGAGAGCCTCTTCCCTCAGTGAGCAAATGAATGAAACACATACCCTCTACTACTTATTCATTTACTTCATTCATTCAATAATCACTGTGTATGGAAAACCAGCTATGTGTCAAGCAGTGTGCTAGGTATTAGGGAATAAAAGAATTTACATAATATGTGGACATTAAACAAATGCTTTGAAGTACGTTGGAGCTATGATTGGGATGAGAAGTGTATGAAAAGGGTGCCTAACAGATTTAGATTTTCTGAAGGAAGCCATGTCTGAGCAGAACGTCTAAGGACAAATAGGAGTTAAATTGAAGAGGATAGGCCAGCGCCATGGCTCACTAGGCTAATCCTCATCCTCCACCTTGTGGCGCCGGCACATGGGGTTCTAGGCCCGGTCGGGGCACTGGATTCTGTCCCGGTTGCCCTCTTCCAGGCCAGCTCTCTGCTATGGCCAGGGAGTGCAGTGGAGGATGGCCCAAGTACTTGGGCCCTGCACCCCATGGGAGACCAGGAAAAGCACCTGGCTCCTGGCTCCTGCCATCAGATCAGCGCGGTGTGCCGGCCACAGCGCGCCGGCCGTGGCGGCCATTGGAGGGTGAACCAACAGCAAAAGGAAGACCTTTCTCTCTGTCTCTCTCACTGTCCACTCTGCCTGTCAAAAAAAAAAAAAATTAAGAGGATACAAGTGTGTTTAGGGCATTCTCCATGTCTTTTCTTTCAGCTCCTTAAGGGCCTTCTATGTTTCTCTCCATCTGCCTTGAAGGAAAACCAAAGCTCCAAGATATTTCATGATTTTTAAAGGTCTACTAATGTCAGAATTGAAATTCAGCTCTGTAAAACCAAATCCTATGCTCACCACACTTTCATTACTCTGCAAACAAAACTCTTTCTCCTCAAAGATTCTACAGGAGGCATGAATATGCAGCAGTGTTGGTCCAAGAATTCCACTCAGCTGTACTTCATCCATTTTCTTCAATACGTGCGGAAAAGGTTTTGGCTTCAGGAGCTGTTCAGGCTGCTACAGGCACAACAGCACTGCTGTGGCACCAGCTTGAGAGGCTCTATTCAGAATGTGCTCTTCCTAGGAGCCCTGAGTTCTCCAGTGGGCTGTGTTCAAATGTTGGTGATTGATACATACTTCAGCATCCCCATGACACTATCAAAGTCTTACATGCTGTTGTATCAAAATCAATGCTCTATACCTGGATCAGCTGTGTTCTTCGCCAAACTTGAAATCAGAGACAACAGTATGCTTTCCTAAGTCCTACCCATTATCAACAAAAGAAGGTTTGAATCCACTGGAGATACTCAGAAGAAAGACTCATAAGGCCCTGTTGGTAATGAAAGAACCAGGGGAGTTACCCGGATACAACTACAGTACATGTTCCTACATCAGCTTTGACTTAATAGTTAAATCCATCTTTGTATGCAAGTTCTGATGAATTTGTTCAAAGAACAGTTATATCACCTGCCAGCCTCACCTTCACCAGATGATCTAACTTTGATGCATGAGAATCTTGCAAGACTCCAGAGCTCTCGTTCTGAAAGTCAACTCTCATTAGTAAGATGTAGACAATGTAGGCAATTTTCTAGATCTAGCATTTGGCCCCTAAATCAGCCCCCATAAATTACTGCTTCCTCCTTCTTGCTACTTTCCCATAATCGCAGATTGTCTTATACATATCAGTTAATTGGAGCTTCTAATAAGTTATGTTCCTGGTAACTAAGGTATCTTTGATCACAGATTAATTTCCTGTTCATTAAGACCTCCTAGGTGCTGGATACCATTTACACCCAATAGAAAGCCTCTTTTTCAAGGGACATACTCACAATCACAGACAAATATTGTCACTTCTCTGACAAGCCTTATTCTGACTCAGGCATCAATCGTGGGAGACAGCCCTCCCTTGCAAACTTGCCCTCCCCATCCAATGGGTGTCATCGTTTTCTGGTCCTTTCCTGCTCTCTCTGTTCTCTTTCCATTCTCAGGAGTTCTCATCCTATTACAGCCCCTCCAACAACTCATGTTGCTTCCGGCTGTCCACAGCCTCCTAATTGGGACACTCATCACAACCAAAAAGGTCTCCCTTAAGCAGGGCCTTCCTTGCAGGATTTCTCTGTCCTCCAAGCTAATCTCTCAACCCATTCCCCATACTGTTTCCCTCAAAGAGATCACCTCAGGCTGAAAGCAGTGTGAATCTAATATTCAAATAAGACAGCCACTAATATAAATAAGATCAACATCACTGATGCATCAGCAGACTTAAGCATTTCCATGTCAAGGAAGTTCTTTTTAATCACTTAGAGGAACTGATACTTGAACAGGAACCATCTGACATCATTCTTCCCCTCTGCCAAATCTGTGGACGAACTGCGATCAGCAATGTATCCTGATGTTTCCAGCCTACTGCTGGCCTTTGTCTTTACACAGCAAGTCACCTCTGTTGCACTTGATTCCACACCCCCCCACACACACACACACACTCAGGCAAGAATTATTTGTGTCAGCCTAAAACAGTCCAACATTCATTATTCAACCTTTATTGCACATCTGCCATGCCAAGCAAGGGTGTCCAAAAAAAAGATCTCCATGGACATCATGGCTTTATATTCTAGATAAACAGACATGTATGGAAATTAGGGCAGAATAGTATTTTAAAAAATGCTAGCCTTGTTAGAATCACACAGAGGGTGCTATAGAAGCAGGCTTTCACAAGAGGGATATGCTCCCAAAGGCAGGCCAGGGATTTCAGGACGAGACCTGGAGCTGTAGGAGTGAGGGCCAAGCTCTCCAGAGCGAAGGGCACCCGCCTTTATCCTCAGACAGGCTCACAATGCTTCTACAGTTAGAAAGGGAGTCCTAGGAACACGGCCAGTCTGTGCACTCTGCAAGGCCAGGGAAGAACTGAGTAATTGTCCAGATAACTCAGAGCAGAGACCATTGCATAGTAAGGGGCAAAAATACCAATCTAGGTGTTGCATCTTGCCTCTGTCAATACCATGTGTGTTATTTGGGGCAATCACTTACATTCTCAGAACTTCAGTTTCCTTATCTATAAAATGGTAAAATAAAATTTTATCTCATAAAGTTCTGTTAAATATGCAGTTGTAGAAGTAGTGGGCATGAAGCACCTAGAATGCAGAGAAACAATCTCACAGCACCCCCTAGTTTCTGCTTTCCTTTATATTCCTCTATATGAAAAACCTAAGGAGAAATGATTATTTCCAAGCACAGCAGAATGAAGCAACTCCTAGAACTCAGGTGTTCAATCTGAGGGAAGTGGAGACAAGGACTTTGTGTCTAGAACTGACCCATATGAGCCCCAAAAGAGATCCAAAGGCCACAGGCACACTGACTAACTTGCCATGGGACCTCGGGTTAGCTCCCCTATCTACTTTTTGCCAGTCTTTTGACTTTTTTCCTTCTGCAATTCTTCAAGGCCTTATTAGCTAACACTCTGGTTCTCCAATTACACTTTGAGGGAGAGCCCATGGAGAACAAAATCAAAAGAATGTATCACAGACATCCAGGGGCGGTAATTAGGCAGGTAAGCAGGGGAAGAGAGGGGTATCATGGGAAGGGGCAAATAGGTGAAGAGCAGCTCCCTCTACTTCTGCTCCTTGTTGAGGATCATGTCTGCTGATGTACCAGAGTCCCCTAGGCATGAAGGCCAGCCTTGCTCTGATCAAGTTCCAGAACTGAAAAGTAGTTTTCCAGATCATCAGCTCTGTCCTAAGCCCCTAGACCTCAGACTAGCTAAGAACTATAGCAAAGTCAGTAACATCTGCCTAGTTATTGAAGAGAATTTTATTTCTCACAATCCATCAAGTGGGTTTTTTTAAATTCTCTTTACTGCTTCCTTGAACTCAGGAAACACTTTTGGGTTGACCTCAATCAGCTCTGAGTGACAAGAAGAAAAAACAAAGCAGGAAAGAGAAAGAGAGAACCACGTCCAATTGAATCAGTAAGATTTAATTGCCCATGTGGAGTTAGACTGGATAAGGGTGACATCAGAGGACAGCTGGAAGTGAGAATTCTGCACACGTCTGGGGCTGAGTTTGAAGGTAAGGCAGGCTGATGGCTCTTTCGCCTATTTCTGTTTAGCCCTTGTGTTTTGCTGATGTTACCACCAGTTTAACTCTGATGCACTGGATTTCTCCTAGGAGAGAACAGAAACAAAGCAGCAACCTCCATTCATTCATTCAATCATTCATTCCTTCTCTGAGCACCTACTCTATGCCAAAGGTGAATCCAAGATTCCATCATGGGGAATGCTTCCAGAAGTTGGGTAGATATTGGGGGGTTTCTGTCCCTGGTAATCTGAAACACTCTCCCCTACTCGAGCCTGGCCTTGAGCCTTTATGAAGGCAAGAGGTATCCTCTGCCTCTCTCTTTCCACAGTTGCCATCAACACAGGGCTGGGCACCTTGGAGGTTCTCAAAAACTCCTGCTAGTTGATCCATAAACTAGAAGACAAATTCCCTGATCTCAGGTTAGCATGTAACCCAGAAAAGCACAATTTCTTCAGGAAGTAGATTTCAAAAGACTGCCTATGTGTTCAGAAGAAGTAAACTGACATGATAGAAGCTGTGTGCAGGGTGTCCCTAAAATCTGGGCACATGTGGTACAGGACCTGAACAGGCTCCAAGCTTGCAATTGCTTTGTTTTAACCTTGGCAGCCCTGCAACTTGGCTCCCATATTCAAAGGGATGATGTATTTCCCCATATTTATTATTTGCACTGGACTACTGAGGAAAAAAGCAGAGCAGCAGGCGATGTGTCTCAGTGTTCCTGCCAGGAATAACAGAGAGGCCTCGCACCAGCGCCTCATTAGCTTATGGAAAACAGTTCCCTAAGGAAACTGCAGGGTGTAAATAAATTTAAAACATTTCAGCCTTTTGAGGCCTGCAGATGCCAAATTTGTAAAACAGTGGTGGCTCAAGAACGCTGTAACATTCTGTTGCACGTCTCATAAATTTAGCGTAAGTTCTATAGTCTGTTTATTAGCAAAATAATGTGGTATCTTAGATAGTTCTTTTTTTTTAACCTGAGATGAATTACTTTATGTAGAAGAAGAAAATTTAGAAGCAAAAATTATGCTGCATTTACCTTATCAAATAAAAGAACAGGGCAATTCTAGAAATAGCAACGTGTATACCTTCCTAACTCAGGACCCTGTTTAACAAAATGTCCTCTGTATGGGCAAAACTTGGTTCAACTCCATCCATTATCCACACCTCAAACATGGTGCTGAGGAGTCAGATGTGAGAGACATAGGTGAAGTTTCAACCTAAGCCTCTGACTAAATCTCTAAATGTTAACAAGGCAAGCAAGAAGAGTGGCATCTTAAACTTGGAAGTCATATGAATGCACTTCAAAATGTTGATGAGAAATGGAATTCTAGGATAAGGTTATGTATACACAGTTTTTTTCATAATATACATTTTCAACGAGCTTTTTGGAGACCCCACATATGCATGGATATCTACAATTTTTTTGCATCAAAACAAACTTAATTTTTAATTCCATTTTCATTAACTTTTTAAATTTTTTTTTGTTTACTTGAAAGTCAGAGACAGAGAGAGATAAATACAGAGAGAGATCTTTTATCTACTGATCCACTCCCCAAATGGCCACAATAGCCCAAACTAGGCTGGAGCCAGCCAAAGCCAAGAGCTGGAAATTCAATCTTGGGCTCCCATGTGAGTAACAGCAACCCAAATATTTGAGCCATCACATGTTGTTTCCCAGGGCTTGCATTAGCAGGAAGCTGGAATCAGGAAGAGAGGCTGGACTCAAATCAGGCACTCTGATATAGGCATCCCAACCACTGTGCCAAAGGCCCTTCCCAACCATTTTCCATGAATTTTTGGAAGTCCCCTTACAGACAACTCTTAGTCTAATCCCTCCAGTTACTGACAAGGACACTTAAACTCATAGAAGCAAAGTGATTCATCAGAGTCCCCACACGGGTGAGAGGCAGTTAGGAGGACAGAATGGGATGCTTTTACACTGTTCATAGAGCAATATGATAGAGTTGTACAGCTTCTAGTACCTTGCCTGGCACACCATGAGTGCTCAACCACTAGGACTGTCATTGTTATCAGCACCATTGTTTCTGCTATCCCAAGGTGCTGAGTAACATATTTCATGTTCATCTCTTTGCAACAGTGATGACTTCTCTAAGAAGCCCAAACTAGTGGTCAGTTTCACATTTACTATCAGAATATTTTTAGTTATTTTAACTTTTTAAAAATATTTTCTATTTGAAAGTAAGGTAGAGGGATGGTGGGAGGGAGGGAGCAAAGGGGGGGGAGAGAAAGAGAGAGAGAGAGAGAGAGAGAGAATTGATCTTCCATCTGCTAATTCACTCCTCAAATGCCCACAAATACCCAGGACTGGGCCAGGTCAGAGCCAGGAGTCAAGAACTCCATCTGGGCCTCCCATGTGGATGGTAGTTATCCAAGTACTTGGGCCATGACCTGCTGCCTTCCAGGCACATAAGCAGAAAGCTGGATTGGAAGCAGACATGAGACTCAGTTCTAGGCACTCCAATATAGGGTACAGTCATACCAAGCAGGAGCTTAACCCACTATGCCACAGTGCCCACCCTTTATTTACTTTTTAAAACTTTATGGTTTTCAGTTTAACATTCTAATACAGGTATACAATGCATATTGATCAAATATTTCAAATTGCCTTATTAACCCAGTTTCATCATCCAGTTCATTAGGTCATCCTGAAATTAACTCCCAAGTTCAAGAAATTCCGTACACTCTATACATGATACCCATATACCACTTTCCACTAAGTCATGATTTAGTCACTGAACAGTGAGACTGTGAACTCTGTAAAGGCAAAAGCCACATCTATCTTGTTCATCATTGGAACGGCCAAATCCTAGTGCACAGTAGGTCCTCAAGTATTCAATAGGCATGGTGCTCAATGCTGAGACACAAAGGTGAGTATGGTCGAGTCCCTCTCTTTAAAAGCCTTACAGTCTGATGAAACTAACTCTTCTTGAATTTATTTCAACTTTTAGTCTAAACTCTCCCAAAAGACCCTATATTTACCTCTTCACATTGTAATCTACACTTCTTATAATCCAAGAATAGTCCTCAAGTAAGAGTTCATACAAGAGATGTCATAAATAATAGTCTTAATGACAACACAGTCCAAGATACATTAGAGAAAGGTGACTCTTAAAAAACAAATACTTGGGCTAGATACAGATACTTGGGCTAGATAAGAAAATGAAGTTTTGTGACTTAGGTTAGATAATAAAAGGGCTATATGATTGGTTTTTGTAAGAGGAAACTACCCTAAATGTAATTTAAACGAGAGAAAATGAACCTCTTTAAAGAATTAAGTTCTGGCCGGCCTGTGGCTCACTAGGCTAATCCTCCGCCTGCGGTGCCGGCACACCGGGTTCTAATCCTGGTTGGGGCGCCAGATTCTGTCCCGGTTGCTCCTCTTCCAGTCCAGCTCTCTGCTGTGGCCCTGCACCCACATGGGAGACCAGGAGGAAGCACCTGGTTCCTGGCTTCAGATCAGCAGCGCGCTGGCCGCAACGCACTGGCCATAGCAGCCACTTGGGGGGTGAACCAACAGAAAAAGGAAGACCTTTCTCTCTGTCTCTCTCTCTTACTGTCTAACTCTGGCTGTCAAAAAAAAAAATTAAGTTCTGAGAAGCCAATGTGTAAATGCAAGTTGGCAGAGCACAGCTCTGAGCCCATGTTTATGAATCAGAGATGTAAACAAATGCCAAAGACTAACACCTGGCCACAGTCTAAGGCTAGGCCCAAGAAGGGGGTCACTGGGCAGCCTGGAGATGCACAACCAAAGCCCCAATTCATCAGGGGATTTTCCAGTAAGTCTAGTAGTGCTTCTCAAACATTAATGTGCATCAGAGTCCCCTGGAGAGCTTGTTACAACACGAATGACTTGTCACACCCAGAGTTTCTGGAGTAGAGCCCAAGAGTCTGTGTTTGTAACAAGTTCCCAGGTGATGCTCATATTGCTGGTTCCCTAGGGTAGGGAAAGCACAGTACACACACATATCCCAAAAAATCTGGACAGCAAGGAATTGGTGTCAATGACTTGTAGGGTCATTAAACTGCAGGGTATGTCCTGGGTTTTTTTTTCTTTAAGTTCCTTGAGCCAGACACCAATCATGTATACTACACATCTGAGTGACTCTTAAGCCAAAAGAAAAGAAGTTAACAGGGCAGAATGCAAAAAATCCTGAGATGGAAGCCAAAAAGATGGGGGAGGGGGCAGATTCCTGTGAAAGCAAAGAATCGGAACCAAGTCAAAAGGATGGATGAAGAACTTGACAGAGAGATGTAAATGAAAAGAAATTGCAGCACAGGAGCTGTGCTAAGGAACTGAAGTTCCCCAGGGAGTCCTAGGAGAGACACTTGTCTATGAAACCTCACAATATCTGAGTTAACCATTATGTCTTGTAATGTCGCCAAGGTGGCAAATAAGTGGTGGATTCAGATTCATGTCTGTCTGATTCCCAGGCTTGACCCTTATCTCCAAAGAGGAAACCTGAATGGGAAACTATTGAGTGAACCATGAGTAACAGTACATGGTTATACAGTGAGGCATATAGGGGCATAGTGTAAGTGGTGGCTCAAGCTTTGGCTTTGGAACTGGAAACATGAATTCACATCTATGCATCTCCACTTAGAAGCAAAGTGGTCTTTGGCAAACCACTTAGAGTGGCCCCAATTTCCTTATTTATAGAATGAGTATAATAACATCCACCTTCCAATGTCATTAGAAAGAATATAGCTCATTTTTACATTAGAACTCCAGACCCTTAGTACATTTTTAGTGTACTTCCTAACAAATGGACATTCAGAACTTAAGGTTGGGGTAGTAATAATGATGATGGGGGAAAAAATGAGGTCCTAGCAGTTGAGGAGCTTATAAGGAGAGCATTTTACAGCTTTAAATAAGTCTCAAGTATCCAAGTTTGGATTAGACATAAACCCAAGAAAGAGAACTTGCCACTGCCAGTTACCAATGTGGAATGTGGTAAGTAAAGAGGTCTATGAGCATTGGAAGTGGGCAATTTCCAATTCTATTTTCAAAATAGGAAATTGGATATATATATATATTTCTGGGATATATATACATATGTATATATGT